TGTTATTTCTTGTACATAATGCGCATGTTTGATTTGTTCGCAATGTTAAAAGAGTTTCAACAGTTCATTACTGTTCGGGGGGATATCACGGTACTCGGGGTATTCAAGGTTTCCCGAGATATCGGAGTTCGAGGGGACGATAGTCGGAGTTTAGTTCAGTTCGGCGCGAGATATTGAGGCGTGCAGACGTGGTTATTTACCACGGAACAATTACAAGAAAAGTTAACATTAACATTAATAAAATGTCATTTCGTTGTTTTAATCAAACTAGACTAACAGTTTAAATAAAACTTACAATCACTTCATAACTTTCATGAACACTCAAAAATATTTTTCTTTTTGCTTTCAATTTTTTTTTTTGTTTTCAATTTGGGTTGACTATAATCGTGGTTTATGCAAAATTTATTTTTATTTCCCTTTTACGGCTCGCGACACTTATTGATAATCATTCAAAAGACACCGCCAGCTTTAGATATAAACAAATGTGCGATATTTCACTAAGCTTTTTTTTGTGAAGATAAAAAATTGCCGACGAATTCTTTTTGACAAAGAAAGCACAAAAATGTAAGATTTTAGTATTTTATCGATGAGATTGAGCTTTTTAACAGAGGAAAACAAAACAATAAACATTTTAAATGTCATCGTTTAATTTAGATGAATTCTTGCGTGAAGATATTGACGAGTATCTGAAGATGATTCGCGGGAGATTTAAACAATTTTTGTGAGGGTCGTAAAATTGTAACGTTTCTATTAATCTACATTTTTGTCACTCACATCATAGTTTTTGTTTTCAAACATCTTTTTGTTACATCTCATCACCACATAAGAGGCAATTTTAGTGTGACCTCAATTCATTTTATACATTTTTCTTCTTTCTTTCTTGTTGTTTATTTCATTTCGTCGTTTTACACGAAAAACTGTCATATAAGCACTCATAATGCCACTTTTTATTAACATAAACATCTTCGCAAATGCTTTTGTGTTTGTGAGTTTCTTTCCAACAAAAACGGAGATAAAAAGTCTACTCTCAAAGCATTTGTCATCGGCCAATGGCAAAGTCAAAAATTATAACATTTCCATTACATAACAACCAACGATCTCTTCAAAATGTTTCTTTTCTACTCTTTGTTCAAATCTGTCGTGAACTTCATCGAGTACTTTTTGAATGAAGCTTATTTTTAATCCTTCTGCTATTCATTAATCTCTTTTAATTGCTGATCTGCCAGAGCTTTGCTTGACAGCTGCATTGTAAACTGCTGAACATTTATTTCTACATGACAAAAAAAAGAGAAGCTTTTAGCGAGCTTCATGCACATCAAGTGCTCTCAATAATCTGAACGTAATTCCCTACAAATCCAAATGGAACAAAAACCACTTTCGATTTCAATATCGTCTCGTTGGGAATATTTTTGTGTTTTATACAATCAGAGCATAACATCATTCCATTCATTCAAGATAGACTTTGATAGTGTGATTTACTCAAAATTCGATAACATGTAAAATGAAAAAGAAGAAGAAATGCTAATAAAAATTTTTCCTTCATAAATTCTTTTGATCGTTAAATTTTAATTTTACTTAGAAATATAAAGTTTGATTTAATAAGCCACACATTGAGAGTTTTATATTTCACCATCATTTATATTCACAATTGACTTCTAAAATAAAATAAAAAATACTTTGTTGAATTTATAAACAAATGCTTTGTGACTTTCCATCTCATTTCTTGACATGTCTGAGAAATTGCTAATTTTAAGCGAAACATTTCTTCAACTTTTGCAATCGTTTAGCTTTTCATTTTGCATTTTAATTTCAATCATATTATCGCAGTACTTCATGTCCATGGTAGTTTACGTGCTTCGTGTCACGATTAGTATTTGAATTCTAATTAAAACGAGACGACAGTTGGAAAGCAACGGATGCGTGGATGTGGCGAGGGTAATGTATGAATAATTAAGAATATTTTACACGAGAGAAACGTGGAGCATATAGGAATGGAATGTTGCGCAATCAAGCAACGTGACTGCCACTATTCTAAATTTAAGAATTCAACTCACATTGGATAACTATTGCCTGCCGTTGGACAAAATAATTGATGATATCGCTTTACGCATGGTACACCTTTGATGACATCACCGCGCACGTTTAGACCGAGTGCTACTGATAATGCCGTCCACCAGATCTGCGAAATAAACAATCATAATAACAGTGATTCAATAAATACACAAATGTCTTATTCTCTTCTATTTAATTATACTAATTAATTTTTCTAAAACATCATCCCGGATTCAAATCTTTAAAGTTCTCTTTCAAGTTTTTTTTTCTCTTTCCACTTGTTGTGTCCGAAAAAATGTGAAGACATAAAAAAAACTTGAGAAAAAAAGAATTCTTTGAGCTGCTTCATAAAAATTATTTTTACAGAATTTGTCGTTCTTTTGATAATGAAGCGCTGAATGTTCTCCTTGTGTTTAACTTTATGTTTATTTGCGACCACACGAAATATTCTTTCCTTATTAATTTTTATAATTTCATTGATACTAATGACTCGACGTGTTTATTTATTGTCAACTAAACAGTTTCACTTTCATTTGAACATTTCTCGCGTGCGGAAAATTAAATATCTAAATCGACGAGTCATTTTCATTAGCTGTGCGTTCGCGTTGTTTAAGATTATCGGGTGAAAAAGACATTATCGAAATATGATGGATTTGCATAAAATACGTATAATGACAAGATTAATAATATAAATATTTACAACAACATTCACGCAGCACATTTTTGCTCCGTCTTCAAAGGCTGTTAAAACGCGCGGCGCGATGTCTTATCGTCGGTTGGAATGAATCATTGGACGTTACGTTCGATGAAGAAGACTTCTTTTCGGACTTCGCGTATCGGAACAGCACACGGAAAAAAGAAATATTCTCTCCCTCGACTCGCAGCAGACACAACAACTCTAGTCAAATGTAAACTGACGACTATTTCGAATAAAAAATTTTTTTCAAAGCGAAGACTTTTGTTTTTGGGAGAATTTTTTTTAAGTGTGGTTTTTGCGGGGACAAAGATTAAAATTTAAATTTAACAGAAACATTTTCGGACGCTTAAAACTAAGCTCTAGACTCTCTCTTCTCATAAGAAGATCAAAGTAAATAAATCTTTTGATTTGGAGATATTTTTGCTTTCAGGGCGGAAAATTTACAAAAGAAAAAACCCAAAATTTAATCGACTACGAATTTTTGGAGGCAAACTTGAATTTTCGCGAAAGTTACACAAATCTTGTTTGTTAACATTTTTTTCTGTTGCTTTTAGAGCTTTTGTTATTTTGTGGTTTGATGACATTCGAAAAGATGGATAAAAAAATGTGTTTAAACATAGTCGAGAGTGACAAACAGAGAGTGAAGGCTTAGACACATTCCAAAGAAGATCCGCTTTGCGTATATTTATGCAGAAATTCTTGTAGGTTAATGGACCGCAAACGGCAGATCATTCTTTTGCTGTTGATTTGTTTTCTTTATTTAGTTTTTTTCTTTTTGTTTTTTAATTTCCATTTAAGCGACTCAGCGGCTTTTTTTCTGTTTCACGGTTGACGTCGCGTAACTAATCCGCCGCAAACGATTGATGACACTGGAAAATTCAGGAAGCTTAGTCAAATGAAATTTTTACAACTCGCACATTGAGCTCTAGGATTGCTTGAGAGAAATAAAAATCAATAATGCGGTGAAGAAATAAATTATTGAATTCCAAAACAATTTAGGAAAGCGACAAGCGGCTTTTCAGTAGCGTATTTGATGGTAGCGATTATCATTTTATGAATTGTTTGATTAATGTCATTATTATACAAATGGAAGTTTTTATTTAATAATTTGAAAGCCACAAATAAATTCTGCGTGCTTGTAATGATGCAAATCTGACTTAATATCTGGAATAATTGACGCTTTTCAATTGATGAATATTTTTCAAATGTTAAAGATGAGCTTATTTGGCTTCTGCAGCTGACAAAACAACAGTTTGATGTTTAGTGAGTTAACTTCATAAATCAATTAGCCTAAAATCAAGGCAGTTCATCGAGTCAAAAGATTTCAATCATTTCCGAGAAGCCCGCCGAAGTTCAGGGTTTAATTTAACTATTATTTAGGAAATATATCTGCATCAATAGACAGTGGAATGTTGCGCAACCAAACTTGACATTGAAGTATTTCGCTTACAACTTGCTGAACATAAATGAATAATGAAGAAAAAAAATCGTTTCACATCAACATGACTATGAAACTAATCATTGATTTACTTTAACTTTTTTTCTTAATGCTTCATTCAATCCAAACTGAACTTCATCTTGTTACACTTGGAGAAAATCGTCATTCGGTGGAAGTAAAAAAACACAGCACCGCTTATTTAAAGCACAATGAAGTCATTAAAAACATCATTGAAATGGCAACGAGACAATGAAACGAAGAGCAAAAAAATATCGAACACTAAAGTTGAATTCATTCATCTTCTTGATAGCTACGATGAAGAGAACAGAAATCTTCTAATTCTCACAATTCCATCAAATACTATGAAGATCGATTGTGAGTCTGGAATTTCTTGCTTCCTTGTTCGAATGACATGATTTCACCCGCTCTCAAAATAAATAAATATGTACATTCCGTAGTACATCTAAATATAGACCACAATACGTCATGCTTTTTATAGCCGGCATTGTAATTGAATATTTACTTGAAGCACCAAAATGTCGGTCCAAACACAAGCACACGAAAAGCTTTTAATGAACATTTGACATGAGTTTCTGACCAACAATGTGCGCGTGTTATTTGTTTGATTCAATTAATTTAAGATTCTTCTTGTTCATTAGAATAAAAAGTTCATTGAAAATGTCTACTCACAGGAATCTGCATGAAAGTGCCATTATAAACTTTTGGATATGAGTACAGCGGCACAACAGGAACTGAATTGTTTTTAAGAAATATTGGTCCTTGTATTGGCGTGACGGGCATCAATCGGTTCTGCGAATCTGAAATTTGAGAGCAATAAAAACGATCAAAAATTAGCATTAAAAGTCATTCTCTTCAGCTTATGATGATAAATAGCTTAAAGCTTTTGTTTTGCTTTTTGAGTTCAGGAAAAAAAAAGAGTTTCGCCGAGACATTAAAACTAAATAAAGAAGATTTTCGCTTTAAATAAAGCCGGTACAAAAATATGTTGGCGCCACCAAAAGACCCCACGAAAACGCTTACAAAAATTAAAAACAGATTTTCAATCTCGAATGGAGACGTTTACGTTTGAATAATGGCTTGTGGTAATATCATACTAAAGTCAAACTTGCCACCCATGTTTTCTATTTGAAAACAAGGCAAGAAAAGATATGTAGATATGGAAGCGTTGACACTATGTGTTAGATTGATCTCAAATGTCTCGAAATGTTTGCGATTTTCATTCCAAAGCAACATAGACGAAAAGTTATTTCACTCTAGAGACAAACTTTCCCTATTTATGTTTATATTTTCCGCATTGTCACCACGTTCCAGCATCGCTGCCTTGTAATTTATTTCTTCTTACAGTATCTGTCTGTAATTTTAATTTTATGCAAAACATTGTTCTCTTCCACCCGCGCATTTACATACATGCAGTCAAAAATTGTTTTTTCATTCTAACTTTCTGATAATATGAAGGAATTTTAAAATTAAAAACATTCCTTTATGATAAAAAATATGTTTGCATCAGCATAAATGTATGCTTCAAATATAAAATTCACATAGGAATTCAAATGTAATAACGAAAAAAGTTCACTGATACGAGTTCAGTTCTCTTCGTGAAGTCAAGTAACTGGATGATTTGAATTTATTTACTTTTTAATTAATTAAGTAAATTAACATCAACGATATAAAGGTTTCTTCTTCTATTATTTTTTTTTCTTTTGTTTGTATTAACTCTTCAGACGATTTGAGTTTCTCACAATCAATCCATGCATTTGCTACTTGACCTACCCTTCCGAATTAATATTTCAATGGCAGTAAACAAATCAAATCTCATGTGAACGAAGAAGCCTCGGAAATGAATTAATTTCCATCATCTTTTGACGATGAATCACAACAGGTTTTGAGTAAGTGTGGGTGCTGAACGATGATGAACATTAATGAAACGGCGGTAACCACATCAATCACGAGAATACGATAAAGATTTGTTTAATTATTTGGAAAAAATATTTCTTATGACATACAAATACCAACAACATGTTGCGAGATTATACAATCATTAGAAAGTGTCGATGTAAATCCCCAGCGTTATAAAGAAATGAATCGTCAGCAAACATTTTGCTCAGACATCATTATGTTGGTTCAGGTGCGGCAGAAATGTTTTTATTCAATTTCACATTTCATCAATTATAGTTTGGAAAATTATTTAAAAACATTAATCGTGGATTAAGAGTTCTAATTATGAACTGGAAGAGTTCAAATGATGAATTTATTGATAAGATTTTGTTGACAATTTTCTTGTGAAACTTTTTTCTGAAACGTTAGATGATTATTAAATGCAACTCGAAGGAGTTTTGGGATTTCCCATCCGACTCTTGTCGTTGTGTTGCAGACATTCCAGATTACTTTAAAACTTCTTCGTTATAATTTCATTGCATTTATTCATGAAAGCGGAGAAGAGCCAAAACTTGTATAAATATGTCACATGATGGCAGATTAGCGACTTGCATTGCCAAGTGAAATTATTCACAAAAAAATAAAAATAAAAAATTGCTTCAAGTCGCGTGTGTTCAAGTCCGTAAATGGCAATGTGCAATGTTCATATTTTCTCAAATGCTTTTAGCAACTTGGTAAGCCACTTACAAAAATGAAGAAAAACACAACAAAAAAAGTCAACGGATGAGAGAATTTTATTTATGGATGTGAATGAAGTTGTGGGTGATTAGATTGAAATCACATAATCTGAGTTGTTTCTTTGTATTTTGATGACAAAAACATTTCTTTATTATATTTGAAATAATAAATTCTTCTAAATGAATGACTAAGAAATGTTTCAAAACGTAAACGTAACAAATTTCTGCATAACTTTTCCCATTTCTTCTAAGCTTTTATATTTGAAACTCAAAATTATCTTATTAAACACACAAGAGTTTGTTTAATGCAAATTAAAATGCATAAATCTTCATTAAATAGAAGTGTAACATTGAAAATATTTCGTAGATAACAATTTATATTCACACGAGTACGGGCCACTCCACTCATGTAAATTATGCTTTTTCTCAGATTGGAATTTTAATTTATTGAAAATATTAGTTATCCATTACCTAACAGTTTGCACCCAAAACGATATTTCATGATGAGATATTTATTTAGGGAAGTCGTTTATTGTTTTTTTTTTTCTTATGCATAAATATATTTAAATGTGTCGTTTGAATGTAAAATATATGAGAAAGAAGAGAAAATTGTACAGCAGAAAAAGTTCTACGATAGTTTCATGCAATTCACATTCAAGCAAGCAAAGTTATCATTCTCACCTCCTTTTCCTGCAGCTGTGTGATCATCGTAATATTCATCCCCTTCTCCTTCATCATCGTCGTAATCCAAAACGGCGACTGGAAGAAAAAAGTAATTTTTTTATGGAAAACAGATGGAAAATTAGTTTTGTTAATAAATAAATCATGAAGCTGAGGAAAGATTGAGAGATTGAATGTCACTACAAGAAACAAATTAAACATGCTAATGAAATGTCTTCGAACTTTCGCGCTTACCGTTTTGTGTTCGCGATCCTTGACCAGCTTGAATTGGTTTATAACCCGGCGGTCGTTCAGGATAACCCGCCGCTTGATTTAAATTGTAATTTTTACTATTTGATTGAAAAGGGGCTTTGGTGGTTTGTGGTTGCGGCTGTTTCTGTTGTTGCTGTTGTTGTTGTTGCTGGTAAGGATTATCTTTAAAGCTTTGACCATTATAGAATCCACTGGTAGTTTTTTGAAGATTACTGAAGCTCGTTTGTGACTGCTGTTGTGAGTAACTACTCTCCCCATAAGTTCGCGTTCGAGTTGTTTGTGAATATCCATTGCGACTATTACTCTGTGCTTGATGTGGTGGTAAATAGCCTCGACTATTCTGTTGTTGTTGTTGTTGCTGTTGCTGCTGTTGATGATGACGATATGGTCCATTCTTGTAGTAGTGTTCATTATGCAACACATTCTCCTGATGATTTCCAGCAGGTTCATACAAATCATTTACGGCATGCGGTGAAGCATGAATAGGACTTAAAGTGGCCCATGATGTTGTTGGAGTATTTACAGCTCCAAATGGCAGTGAGTAGTTGACCAGGGCCATGGTCGAAATATTCACAATTCAACTGTTCTAATTTTCTTTTCAATTCACTTTTATTTGATTTCTTTTTTATGTTTTTTCTTCTTCTTTTTCTTTACTCAACACAAAATCCAGTAACAAGTTTCATGACTTTTTTGTATCAATTATTGGGTAATCCACATAATATTTTGATGGTTTTATTGACGCGATAATCAAACTAACACACAACTCAAAGCTCACATAACATTGTCGAATATCAATATTTATCTGACGAGAAGTGTTTGTCGATATATTTTCTTTTTCAAACGGAAACTCTTAAGACGTCTTTGGCCTCCAATTGCGTTTATATGTCTTATTTTATCAAATTAGTACTGCTTTTTATGCTTCTCCATTTAAAACTTTACACAATGACTTCTTTTAACTTTTTCTTAATTTTTTTCTTCGTGATCTTCTCACTTGAGTCGCATCGTGGAAGTTTTACTGTTCACACACTTTATTATTTATTTCGCGATGTCTCCTTGAGCGGATTTAAAGAGTTTTTTTTATTTTTATTGGCCACCTAGAGCGAAAGAGACTAAGAAACGGGAAAAAAAAGTTTTAGCAGATTTCTGTTTTGATCTCATCATTAAAAATCAACAATTTTCAGGAAAAGAAAGAAATTAAATTTATTCAAGCTTCTGAAAAGCTTTGATAAATGTGATAAACATTAAAAGAAATTTAAATGAATTAATCATAGATTATCTTTGTCTTCAATGTGAAATATTTATGCTTAGAAAACATTCAATTTCGTATCGTTCGAATATTTTTGGATGATTCGAAACAAAATTTATGGAAATTTTAACTTCGTTGTGAAGAGTGTCGTGAAAAGAAAAACAGCAAGTCGAATTTATTTATAAAGTATATAAAATTGGAAATGTAACAAAATTAACATTTTTTGTCCGGTTCGAAAGACTTCGATGCGCGATTTTCAGTTTTGTCTTCGATATGATCGTCGATGTTGTTTTATAAAAATTGTTGAGTGTTTCTTATCAGTTGACTACGATCAATGTTGAATCAAGTACAAACAATGTTGAATGATTTACTATCGAGAAGAAGACGAAAAATCATGTGAAACAGATAATTCATTGTTCAAACAAACAGACAACAAATTAAGACTTTTTTAAGATGTTTCAATGTCACTGTTGTAAATGATGATTTTTTGTCTGGTCCCGAGTTTGACTTCACGTTTACAATCAATCCTGAAACTTTTTTTAACTTTGTTGTTATCCAATTTCTGTTCACAAGAAGACAAAATATTCGACTTTTTTTTTCAAACTATTACAAAATCAAATGTGATTTTTTTTTCAGATGTCGAATGAAAAATCTCCATTTAATTGCATAACAAGACACGAAAAAAAAAACTGAAGAAGATACACAGCGATGACACCGAAAGTGAAGTCAATTTTTGTGTGTAAAGACTTGAATAAGAAGTGACACTTGGTACACAAATAAATGTTGAAATTAATTAATTTCTTTTTCCTGCTTTTATTATAAATTAGTCACAAACTACCGTTTAATTATTTACGGTCTTAGAACTGATTGATGAACATTGAAACAGTTTAAAGGAAACGGCAAAACGTTTGCTTCAATGATATTCAGACAGTACACAAACAATCTCAACAAAACTTTATTTTCTTCTTCTTATTTGGTTCTGCGACTCCACGCTTTAAGAAACTTGAATTAATTCTCTTTCCCCCGTGGTGGCTCTTATGCCTTAAGAAAAACACGTGTATACGCTAAGCGTTTGCTAAAACGACTAACTTAAATTAATTTTTCGTACAACTAGCAAACAAAAAAATATGTGAGACACGATACAAACATACAAGCTTTGAGACTGACTGAGAAATGCGAGAAGGTACAAAGTTATCGAAAAGAAAAATATTCGGTGGATAAAAAAACATTGTTAGACGATATGCAAATATAAACAACACACATTTGAGCTTTTCGCTCAAAGATCTTTCTCAACAGTTTCAGTTTCATTAATACATCTAAGATGGTGAGAAAGACTCTCAATTTCATTTGGAATCGATGACGATTTAGGTGTATAGTGGGGATGACGAAACTCTCTTTTTACACTCATATGACGTGATGCTGAAGTGTTGCGAAAATGATCTCAAATAAATATCTTCATTACCAATCTTTGTTATGACGTTATTCACAACTTGCTTTGAGTTTCAAGGGATGAGTAATGCGAGCAAAAAATGCCAACAAATTATCTCGTTTAAATTCCTTAATAACCAGCACTCGACATGCTCGAACTTTAACACAACATTCAAGGCAATGAATCATCGTCGTCAACATCAGCATCCAGTCAAAAAAATTTCGGACAACAAACAAATGAAATTCATAAATTTATTTAATTCATTCAAATGATATTTACTTGATTTGAATAGAAAAGCAGTTGGAAATATTTGCGCATAAGAAAAAGGAGAGTTAACAAAGCATTGTGATTGGCAGCAGCAACAGCAAAAAAAAGCTAACGAAATGTTTATGACATTAAACAGTGTTTGATATCAAATTAAACTTTTATTTAGTTTGCCATTTCTGACTTTTTGATAGGAGATATTAATTAACAAAAAGCTCTAATTAATGTTGCATCATTAAAAGATTCAACTTAATCAACTGGTTTAACATTTCTGATTTAGAAATATCAAAGTAAGAGAATAGTTTTTGAGTGATTTACCGACAACTCATCCAACACCCCAAAAAAATCTTGTTTGTTCTTCTTCTTTGATTAAATTAATTTTGTTTTCATCCTATTTCGAAATAATTTATTACCAAGTGAAACTGGATCATCGACGATGACTGACTATAAACTATGATATCCTATCGTTGAGTGAAGTGAAATAAAAAATTATTTTTATGTCAAACAACAAGCCAATATGCGAAATAAAAGAAAACAAAACAAAAAAAATGTTTTTGTAGCTAATAAAATTTGAAAGATTTATTTTAAAGTTTTTTTTTTGGAAGAAATGAAAGAGAAACAGAGAAGATTGCGTAAGAGTCATTTAAATGCGAAGTGGCCAAATGAATGCTCTGCTACATGATCGAAAAAGATCGACGATTCGCCATAAAAAGAGATGCAAATTCAAGATGCTTCATCGTGAAAATTTTTTCGCTTTATGTCAAATGGAGTCGGTCAAAAAAAAGTCATAAATTACAAATTTATTCACCCAAAACTATTAATTGTTGTTAAAATCGTGATGACGATTTTTCTATTAAGTGGTTTTCTCAGCTTTACTATAATTAACTATCTACACATGAAGCTTTTGTTTTATTAAGTGATTACTTTCTCATAAAACTCCCACGGTGATGATGTGGAAAAAGAAGAGGAAAGATGGAAAATTATGCTGAATTTGATTATCTAACTTGTCATTTTTTTCTGATTTTAATTTATTTTTTATGTGTTTCAAGAAATGAAACTTTATGACGCACAGAATAAATAAAAACCTAAACCGGTGTATGTAAATAAAATGACAATGTGAAGTTCTTGATCGGCTTAAAAAGTCAAAATGTCACAACATAAAGTAAGTTTGCCTTCCATTAGTTACCAACACTTCATGAAAGCATAAAAATTACATGATTTGGCATTTTTAAGCTTCGCTCATCTCCACCTTGTCCATCAAGTTTCCAACCGGTAGTTTCAGACTTTTAATCTCACAAAACAGCTAAAAAAACTTGAAAATTTATTTTGATTGTAAAAATGCAGAGCGAGAAAATGAAAAACAATTCATTCGTAGGATTTTTTGCTGCTTCAATTTATGTAAATTTATAAAAATTTATTCATCGCGAAGGAATGAAGTTAAAAAGAAAATCAACAAACAAACCTGACAAATTAAAATGAGATATTGACCAGAGAACAAATATATTTTCAGAATCGTGTGTGAGATGGCAAAGCAGTGCCGTGATTGTCGCTGAATCCGTTTTGTCTGAGCAGAATGCTTGATAACAGGTTGTATATGCATATGAATCACATTCTTTCAACGACGCGAAAGCCTCGACAAGAAGACAAGTTGACGACATATGGAGATAGCACGTGTTTTGAGACAACAAACGAGCTTTTTTCTCCTTTTAAAAAATGAAGTAAAAAGGTCAAAACACTTCTCAAGATAAATTAACTTTATATCATTTTAAAATTCCAGCAGCAGAAGCAACAATGTCTTTAAAGTTTAAACAATTTGTTTTCTTACTCAACGATGAAAAGACGATAATCCATCACGGTCAAGTCTCTGATAACAATTTCAGCAAACAATGGCCATGTCAGAACTAATTTTCTACGTTTTGTTCTCAAGAATAATGTTGCGTGTGTCGGACATAAGTCATATATTATATTTGAACAGAAAACAAATAGAAAAGTCAGACAAAAGAGATTTGCTTCGTTTAGAGATTAAAAGGAGAGAAAAAAATGCTGGTGGTGTGTAGAAGGAAGTTCCGGAGACAAAAGCTAACGAACAAAGAGATTTATGGCACAATGTCAATGTCAAGCGAGCGATTAAACAAGGAAAAAATGTACAAATTTTCAAATTAACTGCAACAATAGCTCAACTATGCCACCGGGCTTATGATGATTGTGTTTGAAACAGGCCTAGTAAGTATTTAGTCTCAGTGTGCTAAACAAACATGAAAAACAAAAGAGAACATGACGGCATTACGTATTTGTTATCCGACAATACTCAGCCATGAAATGCGATAAGACTGCCAACATTTCGCAATATATGCTCGCGTTATAATTTATATCATTCAGTTTATTACCACACAGAAAAAAAAATTGTGTTTAATGCTAAAGCTGGCACCTACCGCACCCTACAAAAAAAGAGTGAATTAAGCGGCCACTGAAATAATAGCGAGAGACCAAATTACTCTACTGAATGTCAATTAAAATATTTTTATTTTATTTTTCCTTTTTTTATAAAAATTGGAGCTGTTCAGGGAATGTTTCATGAGTTGTGTCATAAATCAATTTATTTATTTATGGTGAAAAATATCATTCCACTATTTATAAATTTCCCCAACTTATTTAACTTTGTTTTAACATGTTGTCGGGCGGAATTAATATGAACTGCTCATGTCAATGTTTTTCTTGTAGTCAACATCAATTTAAATTTTACAAAAATATTTTCTCGCCACTGAAATTTATAGTCCAATGTTGCTTTTTATGCTGTCTCGTTTTAGTGTGGAGAGACATTGAGTTCGCCAATAAATCTTTTGACGCTTTAATGAAGCATTTTGGTAGCATTTATAAACTTTCCTATTGGGAGCGACCTTGCACAGCTACAAATCGTAATGAAAATATTTGCAAAGTTTCCTTATTCTATTTACATTACAATCAAGAAGGCGATTGAAATATTTATGTTGTGCAAATGTAAATTATTTCCTTGGAAAGTGTTTCGAGTGTTTCGTTTGTTGTAAGTCTTACATGCATAACAATGATTAATAGGAACAGTCAATGAGTGTCGATATAAAATAAATAGTCAACAAGCGGATTTGGATACAAGTCATTAGCGATATTAATTTGTTAATCATTTCATTTCTTAGAATCTCATTTGTCACCTGCAAACTCCTTCGTGTTGATTCATTTACATAACAAAACATAAATTTTCTTTAATTCGCTTGTTTGATTAATTAATAAAATATATTTCAATCCCACTGAAAACAAAACAAAACATTAAAAGACATTTCGATATTGAAGCAAGTGAAACAATGTAAAACATTTAAAGGAAATCGATAATAATTTGTTGTGCATTTAATGCAACTTGCATGATAGTAAATTTAACGACTGCATTGCGAAAGTGGGCAGCCAAATAACGTTGAATATTACAAGAAAAGAATAAGTGGAACAAAAAAATTGTTTGAATATTCCTGAACACAATGAAATAAAATCTGCTTGAAGAAAAATACAACACAAAGGATGTGCAGAAACTTTTCCATTAATAAAACGAAAAAAAATTGTTCGATAAGCTACCATCTGGCATCGATCCAATGAACGAAGAGTTTGGCAATTTATGGCGAATTTCGGAAAAGCACTAATCGCATTTGCGAGAAAACTAATTGCTTTTAGTTTACTTTATAATTTATGAACATTCAGCAGGAAAGAATAATTTAAGGTAGTGAAACTATCAGGATGAGTAATCGCAAGCCACAACGATGGTTAAAGAAGTTTATAATAATTTGAACTGTGAAAGTTCTTAAATCATTTGTTCAGTAAAAACTTTAAAAATTTATTAAGATGATAATTTTCAAGTTAGTTTTGATAGAATTTAATGTCAAATTAAATCGAATCGATTATCAAAAATTAATTATTTGCTAAAATCGTTCAAAAGATTGAAATCAACTTACTTCGTTGACTTTATTCCTTCCTTCAGATATTGCAAAGTCAACTGATAGAAATCTTCGTTCATTCAATTAAATTCAAATCGATTTGGGATAAAATCGAAAATTGAAAATCTTGTTATTGATGTAATAAATTTTATATTTATATCTAATAGAAGATAGTTAAAAAGTGAACGACAAACATGATGAGAAAGTTCAACAAAAACGAAGTCAATAAGGATTTGACTTGAATTTATAAACAGAGCATTGACTTAAATTCTGCTCTAATTTCATCAGTCTTTGCCTCATATAATTTCAGGGACATTCGATTCGATTGCAAATCGCGATATTTCAACAAAATTGTTAACCGAAAAATATTCTCCACTCGTAGTCAACAGTAATGAGATTATGATATGAATTCTTAAAACTTGTTCACTCGTAAACCCATAAATATCATTTTGGCATAATTGAAATGTTGTTTCAAGTGAAGTTGGGGGAGTGGAATCAAATTTTAATTGATACTCTTGAAGCTTAACAAACAACATATCAGATTTGATACTGATTATTGTTTTTTTTAATGTACTTCTCGACCCGTGTCTAAACTAAGCTCAATTCACTTATTTATTTTGACGTTTGATTCGATTGACTTTTATGCTTACTTGGTGGTGCTTATAACTCAATTCAGAAGTTTTGAAAAGTGAAGGAAAATTGAAAACCATTTGAATTGGAAATTTAATTTTCTTTTGTCCTCGTAAATGAAGATTGCTTGCTACTGCTGATCCACATTCACATTTCTGTCTGCTCAATACTTCAGATTCAATTATTGTTATTCGTTGCTGATTTTGAATGCACGAATGAATGCTTTAATTGAAACAACATTTCGATATCATGTCGTGTATCTATGATAGTTGCAGTTTGAATGTTTTGTTTCTAATTAGAGTGATTAGTTGAAGATTAGAATTGAAATTGATTTTCTAGTCAGCTTAAAGGCTTAATGTGACACAACGTCAATATCGTCAATATCGAGTAAAGAATTTTAAAAGCAGCAAGCAAAAGTCAATCAAAACTTTCGTGACAACACAACATGAAATATGAACGAATTAACTTGAAAATAAGGAAAGAATTTTGTTAAAATATATTCAGCCTTTCATTAGTTGATATATTTGCAATAAGTTATAGTTTAAACAACAATATAAAATTATTTATGAGCGCCATGAAATGACTAACAAAGCAAGAAAACAATGAGAAACTTCGCCACTATTGTTCAAACTTTAACCACGTTTTCAATGCAGATTAATCTTTTTCAATCAATACTTTGTTACCTACTCTAAATAAATATCACTGTCTATAGAGTAATGACGATGTAGATTTATTCTGAATTGATTAAGTTTTAATTGGAGTCGGAAATTCCTGAAGAATGTAAAAAGTGTCCGGGATTTTAAACCATTAACAGCTTCTAATTCCAATGATATGTTAATAAGGTGTAAAAAATATTAATCGATTGATTTCAAATCATGAACGAATTATGATATGATTCAACTTGGATTCAAAATCACCTTAAAAATATTAAGATCTGCCCACTGAAGGCACTCAGGGAATTCCCATAAATGGTTCTAATCAATTTCTGTTTTGTTTCTTTTTAAAGGTCGAGAAATTTTTTTAATTTGAATCTTCTGCTTAAATTGTCGCATGAATCACAACATTTAAATTAGGAAATATTCTTTTGGCGGATTACGACACAAATGAAGATGTTTTTGCTATCTCATTGCTTCCGTGTCATATCTTCATGAATGAAACAAAACTTTTCCTTTCTTTCTTTCATTCGAAAATGACTCAAAAGAGAAATAACAGAAAATCGCTCTGAAATGATTCATAAGTTTGTGGTTCGATCTAAATAAAATATCATAAATCAATGTCTTAATGACCTTAAATTACATGTTACCAGTGTCCACATTGACTGCTTAGTTTATTGTATCGTAAGAAATATGATCAGAATTTTCAAACTCAAAAGTTACACAATTATTTGCTTCATTGAGGCCTTTAGGCAGGCAGCTTAAAGATTATTTTACATTGTAAGGTAAGGTTCAAATATTTATGCAGATTCGAGTTTAAACGATTCAACTCCTAATCAATCATCGAGACATTTTCCACTGCTACCATTGCAATCACGTAAATATTCACAATTGATCATTTAACTTGATGTTTAACATTAACAGTGAATAATAATAAAAAATATTATTTCAAAGTTCAATTTTATTGTTTCGTCGCATGCCACGACTCGCCTTATCCAGCGGCCTTTTCATTATTTGTTCTGTTATTAATAAATTATATTTTTATAGCCATTGGAAAAATGATTTTTCTCTCTCTTCTTTTATGATCGCGTATAAAATTGAAATTGCCGGCTATTGTTAAAAATGACTTGAAATATTCAACAGCATGAAAATATCGGTGACTGGAGCAAACTTTCAAGTGAAGCCGAGCATTCTACAATTTAAAATTTTGCCAACGATTTAATGTCAGACAAGATTTTATGATCGAAAATTGGAGTATCTGTTTACATTAAACATTCCATAACTCCAGCATTTTATCCTCTAAGTCAAAGTTTCAATGATAAAAGAATTTATTTCTCGTTTTTAATTAAAATCGCTTTTTTTCTCGAATCAAATTGTGGATTAAAAATGAAAACTTGCAATGATCGTGTCGATGTTGTTGAACAGTTTTCTCTCAGGTGTTGATACTTGTAAAGATCGTTAAAGATTATTTAAAGTTATTGCATTTTATTAAGCTGACAAACAGTAAACTTGCACTTGCACTGACTTAAATTCATTAACAATTTTAATCTCAAGGAGATATTTTTCCAGAAGTGTCTCACTAGATAAGTTTCTTCAAGAGTTTATTGAATTTCTGGGTCAAAAATCTTTACATTTACAGCAAACATTCTTTTTCGTGCAATTTCAAGCGTTGTTATTGCATGATTAACTTGCATTATTCCGCAAACATTTTACAATCACTTATTTTGTGCAAATGCTATTGGAACAATATCAGCTAGAAAATAAAATTGTATTTAATTTAAGTAGAGAAATCAATTGAACTTTTGTTTCTGCTAATATTTACATTTCATTTGCATGAACCGCAAACAAACATTCATTTATTGACATCAAATTCGACTTTCGCCATTCATTTGATTTCCATTTTTCTTTATCGTCAGATATTTACGAGGTTGAAATAAAAGCAAAAATTAAATGGTCCATGATGGAAGCAATTTATCGTTGATCTACCGAATTGTCAATTTCAAGTGATCCCTTTGGAGCGCTGATTTGACTTTTCTCTTTTTCCGTGTAATTGCGGATAATAAAATTAACTTCTTCCTTGAATTTATTGCCCTTAAACTCTCATAATTTCCTCGAATCGAAAAAGACACAAACGACAAAATTTCTTTGCCAACATTCGCTGTTCCACTGTTAGTCAAAGTCATAAAATCCTTCCTCGTTTCACATAAATCAGTAATGAGATTTATTTTCATTTTCCTTCGAAATTCACTCCTCCCTCATCATCACCCACGCATTTCACAACAACAAGCCACAAATTCAATTAAATAAACACTCTACAAAATTATTCTCTCGATGACTCTTCACATTTTTCCGGTTAAAACTCCCGCAATTAAAATTTTAAAACAAAACACGAGAGAAAACTCATAAAATGTTATTTACTTGCCAATTCAACGATTTTAGCTTTCGCTCTGGTTGACAGTTTCAATTTCGCTAATTAATGGCGTTATATCGATTTAGATAAATTGTTGTAAATTCTCCTCCATTAGCAGAGCAATCAACATTCATTTGACGATTGCATTGCACTATCGTGTGTGAATTTAGCCACGTAATTAGTAAAGCGAATGAAAACTGATATGAAACATAAATAAAGATTATTGAGTAATTTTCTAATTAATTCATTTTAAATCATTTTGGTATTTTACTAAAAATAATAAAAAAATGTACATATATATTGATATGCTGATAAGATGTTTTTGAAAGATAATAATAGTTCTGTTTCTTATTGAATCATCATCATGCATCTGTTTTGTAGAAAACCCGCTTTAATCCCTTTGTATCAAATTTCAACGACTACTGGCGCTGTAAAAATGGAACCGTGTAATTGGTACCTGTACAATTGGTAAATAGGAACAGTGCAAGTCTAAATCGAGACTAAAGGAATTTCTACAGTTCATAAACGATTCTATGCAATATTAACTGAAGTTTCCATCATCAGGTGTGGTACGAGTTCCTATTAACTGAGGCACATGTAGACTCATTACAGGCCATGCTTGTTCTACAAACACACTTGCCGAAAACAGTACGTTCTACCCATATCTGATAATGACGATGACACGTGTATTCAATTAAAGTTTTCTCAAATGAAACGACATCACATATAATAATTTGAGAATGTGTCGAATTAGTGAAGGTTATTTGAAAACTTGAAAGAATTAAAATATTTTCAATAAGCTTCTTATTCATGATAACAACAAAAAGTCTTTCGACAATCATTGCACTTCTTTAGATGTAATTCTATAAAATTTAGATGGTGAAACCTGAAACATGAATTACAATATATAATTAAAAAATAAATTTTGTTGTTTCCTTCATTTCAAATATCTAAGCATTCCAAAGTTTTGGTTCTCAAAATCCGTTTTTTTTTTAAAACAAGTGAAAAGGGAGTTCAAAAGGGTTATTTATTACATACAAAAGAAAAACATTAAGAAGCAAATTTCAGTCAAGAATTTGTACAGAAATTTGTCAGATAGCAATATGCTTAATTGAATAATTACAACTGACACGAAGACTTTACCTTCAAAGATTTTTTGTTCTTGTGGAGTACAATATAATTTTTCAATCACAAAATATAAATTTTCTTCTGAAATTTTATCGTTTAAAATCCATTATTATCCATTCGCTCTTAATTGGATACCTGTTACAGAAATAAATAATTTAAAATTATAGGGAATAGGACCAAAAACTTAAAGAAAAGACGAAAAGAAA